GCATTTTAGGGCAATAAATTCTTTACTCAGGGTTGAAGAGTTCAGACAAACATTAAAAACTATAGAAGTCCGTTACAACATATAATCAAACATATTAATATATTTCTTTAAGCATTAAAAAGCATGTGTTTAATTAGTTAGTTTTAGATTCAAACTTATAGTTAGTATTAAGCAATAGATTTTGTGCAAGTTTGTTTAAAAACACCAATTGGTTTCTTGTTGAATCATTTTGAGGCAGAGATAACATTCCAGACCCACGCTATAAATCAGATTGCCTAAAGGAGGCTGGTACGAGAAGATCTGGGTGTTTCAGTAGGTCTCAGAGGTAATAAAATTAACATTTAAGACATCCCTCACAAAGGAGAAAGACACCTCCTAATGCATATATTTAAATGAAGGGAATACACATTCTTATAAAATGCTTTGTTTTACAGCAGAAGTCCGAATCTCTTTGTGCTGAGTGAGAGTTTCCCAAAAGATGCATCTTTTGTTTGTGTTTTTATTTCCCTTTTTACTCGGTTAATTGTTTCTGTTTTGTCATGTCTTGGACTTATTGTAACATTCTTTTTGCATTGATTTTCTCTGGATAAAACTCTGGATATCTGAAGTCTGACGTCGTATGATTGCTCTTTCTCACTGCCCATATATTGAAACACAAGAATTTGGGAAAAAGAGGAATGAATTAATGAGCTAAATCAAGTTATTCCTCTTTTTAATTCTTAACACTTGCTAATTAAATATTTAGTTTCATATTTATAATTGAATGATTTTAAAACCCTTATTTTAAGTCACCCAATAGCAAGAGGTGTGAACCTTTATTTGCAGATTGTGCTACCTGAATGAGGACACCGGGTTGGTTATCTGAGTAGGTGGTGAAGGTTTGGGTTTGTTTAGTTGGAATAGTTGTGTTCCTTTTGATAAGGACCGTCATCACTCCTCCAGCCGTTTCAATTCCCAGGGACAGGGGTGTGACGTCCAGCAGGAGCAGGTCCTGCACATTCTCAGACTTATCACCAGCCAGGATGGCAGCCTGTACAGCTGTGGGTTTCCAAATAATGACATCCTTATTACAGGATAGTTTTTATTTTCACCTTTTTCTAGGCAGACAGGAGTAAATTCTGTGGAGACTTACCCGCCCCATACGCAACTGCCTCATCTGGGTTGATGCTCTTGTTCAAGTCACGGCCGTTAAAGAAGTCCTGCAAAAGCTTTTGGATCTTCGGAATACGCGTGGAGCCGCCCACTAGGACAATATCATGGATCTGGCTTTTATCCATCTTGGCGTCCCGCAAGGCCTTCTCCACAGGTTCGAGAGTTCCTCGGAACAGGTCCGCGTTGAGTTCTTCAAAGCGAGCCCTGGTGATGGAAGTGTAGAAGTCTGTTCCCTCGTAGAGTGAGTCGATCTCAATGCTGGCCTGGGTGCTGCTGGAGAGGGTACGCTTAGCCCGCTCACAAGCTGTACGCAGACGGCGTACGGCCCCTTGTTGTTGATGATGTCCTTTTTGAACTTGCGCTTGAACTCGGCAATAAAGTGGTTGACCATGCGGTTGTCAAAGTCCTCCCCACCCAAGTGGGTGTCCCCTGCTGTGGCCTTAACCTCAAAGATGCCATCCTCAATTGTTAAGACTGACACGTCAAAAGTACCGCCACCGAGGTCAAATATGAGAACATTGCGCTCACCTCCAACCTAAAATAAATAGAAGAAAATGGTAAAAGCAACATAAAAGCAAGAAGTTATAATTTTAGCCATCAGACTGATGATGACCTTTTTGTCCAAGCCATATGCAATGGCTGCGGCTGTGGGTTCATTGATAATGCGAAGCACATTGAGGCCAGAGATGGTACCAGCATCTTTGGTGGCTTGACGCTGGGAATCATTGAAGTAAGCAGGAACTGTGATAACTGCATTGTTCACAGGCTGAAATGATGGAAATAATTTCAGTTAATGAAAATACATGTCTCATTATAAGTCTTGGTGCTGGAAATGGATTGTTCTGTGGTAAGAGCAGTCCAAGCAGCGTACCTTGCCAAGATAAGCTTCAGAAATCTCTTTCATTTTGGTGAGAACCATGGAGGAAATTTCCTCAGGGTAGAAAGACTTGATCTCCCCCTTATATTCAACCTCCATCTTTGGTTTTGAGGAATCATTTATAACCTTGAAGGGCCAGTGTTTCATGTCCGATTGCACCACAGCGTCATCAAACTTGCGACCAATCAGACGCTTAGCATCTGTCGTGAATTCAGCGACAATGAAAAGAAAGTTTCACTGTGTGTACATAGATTTTGCATTTTAATGTGAATTGATGGTTAAAAAAATTTGAAATGAAACAGAAGAAGAAGAAGTGAAATCCTATTTTGTTTTGTTGTTGCTGACAGTGCAGTCTGGCAGTGTTTTTACCAAATACGGTGTTGGCTGGATTCATGGCCACCTGATTCTTGGCAGCATCTCCAATGAGCCTCTCTGTGTCTGTGAAGGCCACATAACTTGGTGTGGTTCTGTTCCCTTGGTCATTGGCAATGATCTCCACTTTGCCATGCTGGAAGATACCCACACATGAATAAGTGGTACCCAGATCAATGCCTACTGCTGGTCCTTTAGACATCTTCAAAAGACAAACAAAAGACTTTTAGTGTCTCAGCACATTTACATTTGCAGTTCAATCTCAAATCAGAGCAAACGGTGTTTATCACACCAATGTCTTCATATGTCTTTCTGCTTAAGCCTCATAACTTGTTGTAATATCACTTAGAACTCTGTGCATCCACAAGAAACTAAATGTCTTTCAAATGTAATTTTACAGGCTTGCTAAAGGTCTTATATCCAATCTAGTCAATTTTCACTAGCTTTATTAAGAAAGAACTTTAAATCTCCAGAAGAACCAAATTGCTGAACAGGATACATTAAAAAAAATTAAATCTTAAAATGCCAAAATAAAGACACAAATATAGAATACAAAAATAGAAAGTATGTTTAAAATATTACCAGCCATGCATAAAAGGCTTATAGAATAAGTAGAAACTCAAATCAATATGTCAAGTAGTGTCAAAGGCTAGGGTGAAGAAATTAATTAGTAATTTAAAAACAGGCAGTGATGTAGTCACACATTTCAACCTGCCACAGCAAAGGCCTGACTCAGGTCAGCTGTAGATCAGCTATAAAGAAAATTGTGGCTTTGTTGCAAAGACAGATAATTGATTAGAGAAGAAATCTAACGAAGCCCCTGAGAGGCAGAAGCTCTTGGGAGCTGCACTCGCCCAACTGAGAACCATTTTTAGAACAGGAAAATGTCACAATGTTTCAGTGGAAAAGCAGCTCCAATTGACTTACTGCCAGGCCTGACACCTTCCTTTTGTAAAAAAAAAAAAAAAAAAAACTTTTATTGACTTAGAAACAGAGCAACACGGGAAAGAAAAAAGTGCTGACATAATGGCTTACACACACCACAGACAAAATCACTTAGCCATGAAAATTACTCAGACTTTGGTTGAACAGCTTTGCAGTTTTACTGCATTGATTTTGGTTTCATGTGTCATGTCATCATTTGATAGAGCCCATACAAACCTCAAACATGTCAGTACCTCTTACATTGTATGCAGACTTTCCAAACAGATAAGATTATAAAGCGAGGCCAGAAGAGCGATGCTTCCTGTATATTCAGTTACCTTGTGAAGTTAGATGCTCGGGAAGTGATAGTTTTCTGAATTAAAGTGATGCCTTTTTTTAAACACCACTGTCTGCGCTCCTCTGCAGCACTCCCTTCTTCTCCTGGCGGGCAGCGGATGAGTGTCCTGTCCCTCCTGTTTTTATTAGGCCTGGTGCAGGCAGAGCCCACTGGAGGTGTCAGGTGACTCCACCAAGGAAAGTTCTAGACCTGTGTTTCTGCTCACTGGCAAGATTTCCTTGAATGAAAGCTGGCTATTATTATCTCGGCACTAATTTTCTAACTAAACAAAATTAAAACAGGGAAGAGGTAAATATGTGGAACTTTGAAAAGTTGCAATGACTTAACTGTTAGACGACAATATAGGAAATATTAAAAAGAAGCATTTCTCAAGAAGACTAACGTTATTCACATGCCTTATTGCAACGTGCAAGCCATTAAGTGAATGATACACAGCATTGCAAATTAAAGTTTTCTCTTTTACTAAGCCATTGAGTAATATGGTTTCATGTAAAACATTTTTTGTAAACATGGATCTCGGTTTTGTCTCATTGTCCTGCTAAAAATGAACCTCCACCATGGCCTCATGTGGTTTGCAGTCTCAAACATGTTTTCCTCTAGAATCGCCCTGTTTTTAACCCCACAGCATGACTCCTCCACCAGAATATTTGCAGAAAGATTCATGTGTTAGGATTTTGGGCACCTGTAGCTGGATGAGATTATCCAATAAATTTTGCCACAACCTGCTCTGTCTGATTCATTCCTTTGTCTTCATAGAGTTGCTTGTTCACTAAAGTTCATCAACAAATAATTGAGGCTTTATAGGATCAGCAGTTATATACTTAAAGTACACTCAATCTGTTTTGTTTTTTTAATTGAGGAGTAGTTATAATACACATTTGCTTGTGAAAAGGACTGAATACTCACAATTGTGACTCTTAAATTTTTGTTTGCAGCTAGTTATATTTTGTTGACTTGACTTTGTGTTGGCCTCTAGCGTAAAAGAAACCAAACTAAAACACATCAAGGTTGCAACGTGACAAAATGCGGAAAAGTTCGAGGAGTGCAAGTACTTCTGCAAGACTCCCTCTGTAAGGCGCAGTGGGTGTGTATTTCACTTTCCTGTTACTACATGGTCTATTCTCGCTGCACTGGCCTCTCCAACACATTCACCATCTGGCTTTAAATATAGCTACTTTTTTTTTTTTTTTTTTTTTTCAGACAGCAGCTGTTGGTACAGAGCACATCAACGCATTGCTGATGTGGGACTGTTGCATAACAGCATACCCCTATTTTATAAAGTGAAAATTCACATGCAAGAATCATAAAACCATTAAGCTCAGACTCAGTTTTTAATGCTGTTAACATTTGTAAACACAATAACTTACAACAGTTGTAGAATAACTTTTAATAAATACTATACATTAATAGTAATTATAAGCAATTAAGCAGCTTTAAACAAGTGGGGGGGGGGTTTCAAGGTGAAGTAAATCAAACAATATGTCCCAGTAGGAAAATGTCAGACAGAAGAAAACTGTGATTTTATAGCAACTGAGAAAGTTGTCACTTTAGGACAAACAAACTACGGAGTTGATAAAAGAAGTCTTCGGGTTTGCTACTGTTTTCTCGGCAGTGCCCATTCATATAATCCCATGCACACCGCTTGCAGTAGTTGTAGAAATGGCTCTCTGCTTTCTCCAAAGTGCTGTTCAGGTCCAGTTTTCCCTGAAGACTGCAGAAAAGAAAGTGTTTTTAATACATTGAAAAGACAAACATATCCAAATGTGTCCTCTAGGAGCTACAGGATCGAACCTGCTGGTAAACTGGATTAGCTGCACGTCATCTCGGCACCGAAGCAGAGACTCTCTGTTATCTAGCAGGATGGCTGCACAGATGAAGAGCTCAAACGTGAAGTCTGTGTTGAAGGTTTGCTGTGGTGACTCTGATCTGTCCCCTGGAAACATCGTAAGATGAAGATACAGCAATGTTAGGTGTTTTACCGGAGAAGTCTAAGTGCAATTACTCTGCTTTTTATCTGCGTTTCACCTGTGTAGTGTTTTTGGTCCAGTCTCTCCTGATATCGAGCGCGGTCAACCTGCTGTGAGATCAGCTCCAGATGGTCACAGCTCAAGATTTCAAACAAACGCAGTGCATCACTGTGCTCAAATTCTCTTTGAAAACCCAGCAGCAGCCACCTTAACACAAAGAATATAAACCAAAGACTTAAAGATACGCTTTCACGTTGAAATAAAACAACAAAGTCATTAAAACAAAGTGTGCAATATGCTACAGATGCTCTACCTGTGGCAAAATGTAAAACTTTCCATGTTGTCTTTGACTAGATGAGCATAAAGTGGAGGGTCCAGCTCCTTCAACAAAGCAGCCTCCAGCTCTGGAATACAGTAAGTAAACATTTCCAGCTCAAGTCAAACTCATTCAAAACAAAAGACTTGATTTGAACTTTCATATCAACATCCTACCATTCAGAAACTTTTCTGTTTGGCAATGGCAGACAATAAATGTTCTAATGTTTCCCCCAAAACAAACACAATTTTCTGAGCTGGAAAATGTCATTTACTGTGTTTAACCACTAGAGGTCTCAAATGTATTTTGCAGTTGAAATTGGGAACAAAACATAGTCACAAGATCTTGGACACATGCAGGTTTCATGAATTCATTTTTATATTATGTGTAGCTCCATTATGTGAAAATAAATAGTCACAAGATCTTGGACACATGCAGGTTTCATGAATCATTTTTTATATGTATTTATTATGCATTGAAATTAAAACTGGTATAAAACTATTAGCACATTATTTAAAATCATTTTTGTTTTGTGAAACAAAGGTGGAAATTAGATTTTTCTAAAAGGATTCTGATTACCTGATATTTTCAGTGCTCGGTCTTGGCAGCATTCATTTAAGAAGTGCTGCTGATGCCTGACAGTGAGTGGTTTATAAATTCACCAGGACTTAGAGAGAGAGTCCAAATATTTTGGAGAGATTGTCCTCTGGTGTCTCCTCTTATAGTTCTCAGATGGAGGAGCAAGGCCATAGAAAAACCGATAATTCAAATAAAGCTTTCTATGATTTATATTTTCCAAGAAGTGCAAAGTATATTTCTTTAAAATATCAGAATGATGGCCCACAAAGGATTTATTGAAGTTTTTTTTTGTGTGTGTCATGATTCCAAATAATTTGGAGTTCTGGTTATTTTTCTTAACTAACTTGTCAAAAGAAAACATTTGAATCTTGAAGAAAAAAAAGTGACTCTCTTCCAAGCCAACCATTTACATTTAAGCAGACCTTTCGAATTAAGGTTTTGAAATAAACACATATTTACCTGCTTAAATAATTTTATTAGGTTGTGTTGAATCTGATAGAATAATGCAAAGGTGATTTATCATAATTAAAATCTTAAATAAGATTAGCACAGTCTAAAGTCAACATAAAAAAAGAGTCTTAATCAATAACATCTAAAGCAAGAAAAAAGTTATGTCAAAGAGAAAGAAATACTGCACGAAGCAAACTAATTATGCTGATGCTGTGACATTTGCTACAAACAAAATTGCTTTTTCTGACTGTTAATCTCACCTATTTTTCTGTGTAAGCCGTCAGCCATGAAATCCCTGGAGAACTTCTCCATGTAGGAGGAAAAACTCCAGAAGGTGTCCACCTCGGAGTCAAGGACCTCCAGGAACCTGCTGCACAGGTCATTCATTCCCTGGGCGTAGCTAACTTCTGTCATAACAACAACGAGACCGAAAGTTATCAGAGGAAAAATAAACCTTGGTTTGGGCTGATTTGGTCTGATTACCTGGATGAAAAGCAGCATAAGTGATGAGGATGTCTCTCAGGACCAACAGATTCCCTAAACCTTCCTCTCTGCAGACAATAACAAGTGATTTGTGAAAGATCTGTAAAGTTTCCAATGTCTCAGTATATTAGACACAAACTATATATACACTTCGCCTGAAATTGAAAAAGAAATGTTTTTAGTATTATTATTTTTTGGTTGTTGTTATTCATGACATCTTGCCCACATCTTTTCCCCACAATCTTTTTATTTATAACCATTGGTTTGGAGAAGAATGCAAACACTCCTTTAAAAGAATCATACATCATATTAAGTATTTTTATTGTAATGTAGGGCATGTTTTAAACTACACATAAGTCCAGCACCTGATTTAAACTAAGAAATTTGGGATGATATGTTTCAGGGAACAAACAGGTAAAAGGCAGCTGAGGTAATGAGGTAATGTAATAGTAGTATGAAGAAGAAACAAACACATTAGCATTAGGATTCCAGCTGCGGGAATCATATTCTGCATAAAGGACTGGGAGAGAAGTCAGGCAGAAATACATTTTTTTTTAAAATATTTACATAGTAAAATCCAGACTTTCCTGAGAAAAAAATGTAATTTTCTTAAATCTTAATTTTACAAAACTTTAAAATGATTAGGAAATAATGAAAATTCAAAGGCAATGCCACAATTCTGCAGACTGTATGTAATCTGTGCCCTTTGTGCTCGCATTTAAGTGGAAAAAGAAACATCTAACTTGTTGTCATTGCCATCATCCTGTGGAATACAAATGAAAGTTTAGGAACATTTTTCAACTGGTAACTCTATAAAACAGCAATAACAATTATCAGAGGTGACAGAAGTGACTTCACATGAACTCGCATAGGAAAGAAATCACTGTTTGGAATTTGCAAAAAAAAAAAAAAAAAGATCAAGGTCAGATAAATATCAATGAGTATAATGTAGTTTATATTGCTCAATGACAAGGTGTATAAAACAGTTTAATCTTTTTTTATCTTAGTTTTTGTGAATAACATCATGACAATAAATAAACTGATAAAAATCAGGTGAAGAGCAAAGAAGTTTAAGCCAAAAAATTTAAAGGGGCAGTATTATTTTCCTGCCACATTGTGCCATTTTATGGCACAGTCAAGTAATTATGTTACCTTCAGTTATAAAAATGCTACATGTATCAAATATGACAATTTGACATTGTTAATTTAACACCTTGAAATTGGGCCTTTGTCTTTTTAAGAAGCTCTTGTTCTTTCTGAAACTCAGGAAGTCATCACAACATGGCTCCTTTGTTAATCCCTTAGCAACGTTTTTACCAGCGTTGCACTGAGAAGTATCTCCTATCATGAGCTCAGCAGAGGGCAAAGACAATCCCACAGTGTAAATACAGAGGAGTGTGACCAGAGGCAGGTGGTTGATTACAAAGTGCAACTGGGAGAAAAGGTAAACAGACAGACGGCAAGACCTTTAAAACAAAAATGATGAGAATGAGAAATATCGAGACCTGAATACAGACCTGATGTGAAAGGAATCTGACCAGACCGAGAATATGTACTGCACAAAGAAATTATAAAAACCCAAAACACACCAAATAATGACAGAAAATATCAAATTCAATAACAATAACATCCAAATGAACTGTAATCAGAGTTCTGGACACACACAAAAGTGTGACGAGTCCCGATTTTTGACAGTATCTGTCATGTATTTTGTGGGTGCACTGGATAGACGAATAAATTGCATCAACACTCACTTGAACTCAAATGAGTTCTTGGAGAGTAAATTGAGGATGCATGACTAATCTCAAACAAGACACACCTTGTTCAAGTGAGACATGAACTTGTGTCAAATTGTTTACTGTCACCAAATCTACCACCAAACCATGAGTGGAGGAAAAAAACAGCACATTTGTACATAAAATGGCAGTGGTGTGCCTTTATCTTTGTGGCATTTCTACCTCCACCTCATCCAAAAGTGACTCGGCAGATTCACAAAAACGCAGGATTTGGTAAAGACAGGAACAATAACTACAGAAAAAAAACTCACTGGTAGTAGCTCAGGTCTCTGTTTGTGCGGGGAACATCCTTGTCAATGATTCGTGCGGCTTCCCGCAGCTCCTCCAGGTCAAACGTGATGCGCTCAAACAGTATCTGTTAAAAAGTAAATGTAAAAACTATGTTAATAAAAAGTTGTCTTACTGTGCTTTGAAAAAACTTTAATGTGCCAAGGTGTTTTTGATAATTAGTCTCTTTGGGTTTTTCTTTTTACTGCACACTGCAGTAGTGGATAAATGCCAAGGAGAATTGCACACATCTTAACATTTTCAAAATAAAAGTCTAAACATATGACATGCTTTTCAATTCAATACTGTGCAGAATCCTTTTTTCCTGCAGTTGCAGCTGTAAGTCTCCTTTTGTCTCAAACATGTTTGGCTTGTGACGACATTCAGTTAAAAAAAAAAACTTATTCAGGTATTTTTATTGCATTAAATTTGACAGTTTTCAACACTCTTTAATTGATGCTGCGCTCAACTGATTTGGAGCTGCTTTGGTTGCAAAGCACAGCAGCAAAATCCTTATCTTAGATAAAACATGATTCACTGGCTGTAAGGATAGAAGGTTAATTTCTGTAATTTTTTATCTTTCCATTTATATGAACAACACTTGAATTGATTTCAGCTTGTTATGTTTGAATAAAATTATGTTCTTTTCTATAAACTTTCTTTTTATGTAAAAAAAAAAAAAACAGGGCTGAAGACAGTAAGCTGTTGGAATGAAACGACATGATACAACATGAGCTCACCGTCAGGGTTTAGGAGATGTCAAATAATATCTGAGTAGATAAATTATGTTAAATAAACATCTGATTATGTTTGTTTAACATAATTAGATCCTGTTTGGTCGCTTTCCTAAACAGATCGACTTCACCACACCCAGGTTAAAAGAGCTGAACTATTCTAAATCGTGAGGGTTAATCTACACCAACACATGTAAGACATTTATACATACAAACAATGACTATGTCAACCTGAGCTTGAAGCTCCAAGAATGCCAGCCTGTCCTTCACCTCCTCAGACTGATCCTGGTCCTGCTGCTGGGTTTGTGCCTCCCTCTGGTCAAAGTACCGAACCGCTGCAAGCAACTCGGCTGCTCAGCACAAGTGTTTAGGGGACAGAAGGGAAAACATGGTGGAGGTGAGGTAGGTGAGAAAGGGGTCAGAGCAGAAAGAAAAGTCCTCTGCTTCCCATTAGTATCAGAGTTTGTGCATGTTTGGACCTTTACCATCAGTACCGTTGAGCTGCATTCGCACCGCTGAGGGGAGAAACTGCTGCCACCTCCTTTTCATGACCTGGTAACGTACCAGCAATTGCTCCCGCAGCAAAGACCGCTCCAGTGCGGTGGAGCTGCATGGGTACATGCCAAACAGGAAACGCCAAGCCAGGCCTCGCTCTGATGGAGACACACCACCTAGATCAAATAAAAGAGAGTTGAACGCATCTAATGAGAGGATGTGAGAAGTACAACTCTTCAGTTGACAAATGTAAACAAAACGTTAAGGAAGGTGTGTTCAAAGTGCAGCGTGTGAATCATTTGCACTCCTTGAATGTAATTCAGGAAGGAAATGCATTTCACAGGCCAGCACAAAGGGTTGGCACAGTCGAATATGTCTGGCTCGCCAATAAAAATCCTTGTAAAATGGATATGTTAGGAAAAGCAGAAAGTGTCACGTGTCCAGTTCTTGTTCTTGGGGGGTTGGGGGGAATCATCATACACCAACTAAAAAAAAAGTTAAATAATTGATCCAAGAAAAGTAGAAAATTGGATCTTGTTTTGGTTATCTTTAGGCAGAGCTGGAGTTCAGTGAGGCCTCAGAAACAGGGTAAGCTGTAACATTCCTGCTAACAGACATGTGATGTGGCATCCCCACAGCCTCTTTGGTAACGTCTGATGTCTGCCGCCTGCTTCTTTTAATGAGTTCAGGTCCAACTTACACTCTGCTGCATCCACAGGTTTTGTTGTGTGTTTAACTCCCATACATTAACTATTGAGATTTCTGTTCTCTTAAATCAGTCATTCCTTAATGAATATAAATAAATTCTATCATTTCATCACTGTGGTCACGCAGTGCCCCCAGGGGAATCTGATGTACGTACAAAGAAATCTCAGATTTATTAGGAGAATGGTTTGATTGTGACTCAAACAAAAATGCCTGAAGCAAAGCATCACTTGACTTCCTGGTGTCGCGATCAAAGGGTCACAGTGCATCTCAACAGAGATAATATTTGTTGAATTCTCCAGACTGCACATTCATCTGTAAAGCATCTCTACTTTCATTACATATATTCTATTCATGTCTTTTGGATTCAGTGTAAGAATGCATCCTTCTACTTATTAGTTCGATTATGTGAACCTGACAGTGATGTGGAAAATCAGGCCTATAATTTGCATCTTTTACTGTAAGAATTTCTGAAGAAAGTTGTCAATGGATTTAACCCTCTTAGGCTCAAAATACTTGCAAAAGACTGAAAAAGTTGTTGCAAATCTGCAACACCTGCCTGGAGAGGGTTAAGAATAAATCAATAAAATACGCTAATTTCTCTCAAAACGACAACAAATCGGAGTCTGTAACATAAAATATGGTCTCTTAACCTTTGCAGACCTGCACATGTTTTTTGAATTTCATAAGCGGTGAAAAAAACAGAGTCAAATATGAATGCTGTATGAATATAATTAACAGTATATGCTTAGACGTCTATTGTTAAAACAGTTATCAGCAACAAAATACATTATCCTCTTGGATTCTATGACCCACTGAATAAAGTAGGAAACATGTTTTCACCAGGTCGTAACAATTGATTAACTTTTAATAAACACAAATAAACACAATCTAATGAACCTGGTGTTTTCTCCTGACAGGAGAGAAGCCATAAAAATTATAAAAATAATATAAATCATATAAAAACGGTTTAACCATTTAACCAGAAAACCTCTGGATGCTAATCCCAGGGGTTTCAGAAGTTTATTTGTTTTAGACAATACAGATATTGAATCAAAATCATTCGGCATCCATACACAGGTCCAGCAATTTCTTTTCTTTTTTTGTTATTTTTATAGCTTCCTATACCAGTAACCAAACCTCAAGTCAAAAGCACTGGCACAATATGAAATTGTTGATAAGGATGTTGAGGACAAGAAAGATACTGTAGTTGAGTTTTGAGCTCACATGTTTGACCTCTCAGGGTTTTTATCTGTGTGAGAAAGTGTTGTTGGTGCAGCTGCACTGTAACAAAGACTGGCTTTTATTTAAAAACCAGTGGGTCACCATAAACCTCATAGCGTAAAATCAGATTTAAAAACGGTATGAGAATTATATTCATCCTGGAAATACATTATTATTGAAAAAAATAAATTACTTTTCAACGTTGACCTAAACTTACAATATATTTTATTTCCAGCTTTCATCCATGCTATCAACACTTACAGTGACCTACCGTTCTTGAAGATGTGCCTCCTCAGTCTGGACTCGTCGACCCTCCCCTCTGCGTCCATGACCCCGGGTAAGGTGAGCCGTGAGGCGGACAGAGCGGCGGCGCTCACCGCTGCGACTCTCCTCCGATGGGGGATCTCTGCCTGCTGTCGGCTCATGCTGCCCGGATCTTCCCTTACCGTCAGTGGCGGCTTCCCGTCAAAGCGCAAATCTTCCTCCATGCATGTATGTAGATTTCGCGATCACGCACTGAAGTTTGCCGTCATCCCGGGAAATTTTACTCCCGTCTTCTTATCCGCGGGGATCAGCGCTGAAGTGGGCCAAGCGTCGGCTCCCGCAGGGTCAAGATCCGGCCCACAAAAACACCCGACATCTCCAGCAGGGAGCATTTTCAGCTCGGTTTTATCCCTCACATTCATGCAACTGGAAGTCATATGACTGTACCTCTAAAGTTTAGCCCACATTCCAGGTGGAGTCCCTCCTTATGATGCAAAGTTCACCAGGAAGCAGCGTGGATGTCGCACTGACCCCATCTAGTGGCTTTGCGATGTAATTACACACTGAAAATAATTTGGTAGAAGTATTTGCAGCACATAACAGTGAATAGGCTACATGAAAACTCTAATAAATTTATTGACATCCTGATTGCAAGTGTTTTAGGGAAGTCGAGGGAGAAGAGATTTGTGGTATGAAGGTAAATTTGAAAAAAACAAACAAAAAAACTAAGGACAAGTTGTCTTTATAGAATGCTGACTGTAAAAATGTGTCTAAAGAAAAAAACTGGTTTGCCTCCATTATCAATTTCTTGAAATCGATAATGGACTACTTTTTTAATTCTAGATGGGTGGCGTTCTTTGTTCTTGTTTTTTTTTTTTTTTTTTTTTTTGGTGTTTTAACCCTCCCAGACAGGTGTTGCAGATTTGTAACAACTTAGCCAGTCTTTGCAAGTAATTTCATCCTGAGAGGGTTAAGAAGTCACAGTTCAGTGGTGAATTACGAATCACGTAAAATTACTCCCATTCCACTGAATGAGACCAACAAACTGAAAATAGGTCTCAAAAAGAAAAAAATAATTTGATATTGAAATCAACATTTTCACTGAGCCTTAAAGACTTTGAGGAAATGCTGCTCAGAATAAACATCTGGCTGTTTGCAGAAGGTCAGTGTTAAACCTTATAAAACGTTGACGGATTAAATGAATGAGTAAAGAAATGTGCCAGTCGATGCAGATCTTTGTAAAACGAAAAAGAAAAAAAAACTATGTATCTCCCTATGTATCATGTTAAGTAACTTTGACCTTTTTTGTCTTGACTCATTTTTACTATGGAAATGGATATTTCTCCACTTCCTGAGTCATCAATTTGTATGAAAAAGAAATTGCATGAACAAAAATGCTGACATATTTATTGGCAGTTCAAGTCAGTTTGTGTGAATGCCTTTTCTAAACCGAGTTTCTCCTGTGCAGCGCAGTGATGAGGCTGCAGTCTGGGCCACAGGTCAGGAGGCCACAACGTCGAAAGAATTCCAGTTTGTTACAGAGCAAAGAAAGATACACATAAAATGAACAACCTGGCACAAAAATGACTATCACAAAGGTCGTTTCAGTATGATCTGAAAACATGCAGAGAAAAACCTGCTTGGGCTGCCCAAAGTTAAACTGTGCAGCAGTTTCAAGCTTTTTGTAGAATTACATCAGTTTGGTAACTTGAAACACCCTTAGTTTGTTGACTTCCTCCTGACAAGTCAAACCTCACACACTTCACAGCTCACGCAAAAAGGGTTGGTGGTTCCAGAATACAGAACTTATTTAATCAGAGAAAGCAAACAAATGAATACATTCAAAGCCTGAAAACACAACAAGAAATGTATAATTTATGATTTTCCTTTTACTTCTCTGTACTTGTTGATTCGACTGTTTGATTTCTATAGAATGAAAGTGAAACTGGTTACACTTTATTTGACGGGTGTGTATAAGGCTGTCATAAACATAAAGGAGTCTTTAATGAATGTTTGAATGTTGTCATGAAATGTCAGTGGGTGAATAATGACACTTTAATGCAAAGTTGCTCTAAAAGTTGCATTGAAAGTCCATTAAAAGTGCCAACTTTGCATAATTCTGTAAACAATGTCACTTTAATGGGTAAATAAATGTCAGTCTTATGCACACCCCATCAAATAAAGTGTTTCCGTGAAACCCAATGAACTAGAATATTCATAAACCATTAATTTCTTTCAGTAATTCAATTCAAAAGTGAAACACATATATGAATTTATTGCAAACAGGGGGATTCATGTGGTTATGTCTGATATACACCTGCAGGTGTAAAACCTCAAACTACCTCAACTTAGTTTATTTCAGTGCCAACTGAAGCTAAAAGCAAGGTCATTTTTGTCACAATAAATGGGTAAGTGTTCCTCTGCAGTTTAGGTGGAGACTCTGCAGAGTCACATTTCAGTCAGAGCTGCCTTCCTTTTTCACATGCTGCCCAGCCTTGCAACAAGTTTTCACATTAGTGCTCAGACATAATAGTTAAAGACCAACATCGTCTGGATCCTTTTCACAGTGAGTACATAAAAAAGCTGTATAATTTTAAAGATTTCTTCCTGTTTTAACCAAAATATATACATTCTTTGATCAGATGCAGCTCCCAATTCTGTTTTATCTCACTGTAATGTGGATACTGCTATCACAAGCTAAAGGTTTGACATCTATCTATCTATCTATCTATCTATCTATCTATCTATCTATCTATCTATCTATCTATCTATCTATCTATCTATCTATCTATCTATCTATCTATCTATATCTATCTATCTATCTATCTATCTATCTATCTATCTATCTATCTATCTATCTATCTATCTATCTATCTATCTATCTATCTATCTATCTATCTATCTATCTATCTATCTATCTATCTATCTATCTATCTATCTATCTATCTATCTATCTATCTATCTATCTATCTATCTATCTATCTATCTATCTATCTATCTATCTATCTATCTATCTATCTATCTATCTATCTATCTATCTATCTATCTATCTATCTATCTATCTATCTATCTATCTATCTATCTATCTATCTATCTATATCTATCTATCTATCTATATCTATCTATGTCTATCTGTCTATATGTCTTTATATCTATCTGTTGCTGACAAGCATTTTTTAATTTGTTTTTCAGACACAGGTGACCCTAAATGGAAGATAAACGTGAATCAGAACATAACTGCAACAAAAGGCTCAAATATAATCATATTCTGCACATTTGAAACTCCTCCGGAACAAAAAACAAACATTACAGTTTACTGGAAAACAAATGGAAGAAGCAGCTGCAGCAGGAACGACAACGACAAGCTGGCATTTGCTTTTCATCCTAGCTCCTCTTGCATAGATCCACACTTCCAGGGAAGGACAAAACTAATTGGAGAAGCCAGCGATGGAAACTGCTCTCTGCAAATCTTCAATATTAGGAAAACTGAACCATCAATCTACGTGCGGGTTTCTGGACGGAGCGACTACTACAGCTTCAAGAAACATGCCGTCAAATTTTATGTGGATGAAAAAAATTTAAGTTAGTATATTTTCAGTTTTACCAGCTATTTTATGCTTGTTACAACATTTAAAGTTTTTCTATCATAGTCAAAGTTTTCATTCCATTAGGGAACTATAGCTTGCAGTCATACAGATCAAGGTTTCTCTGTTTGGAAACATGTTTTCTTTATTTTTTTCCTAAGGTTCCTTGAGTCACACAGATTATCCCTCATTTGAGTTTACAAGTAATATTTTATTTACTTCATGTTATTTATTCAATCTGTTCCTCAGAAACAAATAGACATCTAAAAATCTTCAGTAAGGCTTCTTTAATGGAAATGACTCTTGTTCATAGCAAGCGCCATGCCTGATGTGCATGACGATGGGAACATCAAGATGTACCTGGCCATCTTTGTGCCACTTCCCATCATTCTCATCATTGCTGCAGCTGGGATAGTCGCTTACAAAACGTACAAGAGGTAAGCACCAATTTATCTGATGTTACAAGTAGATAAAATGCATTTGGAAGTGGATATATATGAATATAAGGTAAGAGATACTGACAGATGATACGGTCATTGGCCTTCTGGGAATAAAGTAAAGTGCTGCTGGCACATGTTTGGTCCAGGTCATACAGTTTAAAAAGTAATTCTACTGGAGATGAAAAAGATGGAAACTCCTGAATTTGAAAAAAGCAATAACATTTCCCCATATTTATTCTGCAGAATTTATAAATAAACATAATTTATGAATTCTTAACAGACAAATGACCAAAAATGTTTGTCTGATTGAGATCAGACACTGACTGTGTTTTATTGCACTGTATGTAAATACCTGATTCAAGTATTTGTATCTTTATACAAGATAAATATTTTACCTAATCATCTAATCCAATGTTTTTATATTTTTGTGTTATTTTTTTTTTGCATCAGTTACAAATAACAGGTCTTCAATGCTTTTCTTCAATATCCCAGGTCACACACGTTCAAACGGCAGGAATCTGGATATTATGCAAACTTCAGACAGGCATCATCAACCACTGCCAAAAGGTTCTGCTTTTAAAATTCACAAGATAAATTCTTTGCATTATGCAGTTCTATAAAAAAGCATTTACATTTTTCCAACAACTGGCAAAGAGTCTTTTACATTCATATGTAGGCATTTTGGCCCACTGATCTTTTCAGAAGTATTACAGTCCAGGTACACTGACTTGTATAAGGTCGCACTATAACATCCTAATTGAAATTAGGTTCAGGTTTTGACTAGGCCACTACCAGTCCTTTGTTTTCTGAGCCAGTAAGAGGTAGATTTGATGATTTCCCTTAATAAACATAACCATCAATCGAAAACTGCATTTTGTATCTAAAGCATTAATGTGTTATAAATAAAGCTTTGTGAATGTTTGTGATTACTATTTATATCATTTTTTCTTTCTACCATAGTAAATGCAAGCAGTTATTTACTCTACAATTTAAGTGAAATTGAAACTCCCCTATTTCCTCTTTTTTCTAGTGAATCAATTTGTGAAACATCAAACCAGATTAATCCAGATCCAAACGTTTATGAACCTATTTACCTGAATATTCAGGTAATTTGGATTTATAGCAATGTTTACATCTAAAATCCTACTCCAACTTTGATCTAATTTATCTCCTTTCTTTTTAGATATCAGCAAATCAAATGGACCAACAAGTGGAAACTGTAGACAATATATATGGAAATGTGGACTCTGCAACTTAGAAAAAAACAAATGTCTCGAAGCTTTCATCCTAACGAATTATATTTTCCTGCATCGTCTTAGGTGTTCAAATACAAAAGTGCAGTCAGAAGCACCTAAAGTGTGTCAACTGGATTGCCAAGAATACACTGGTTTGCAACACATGCATGGAAACTCCAAAGTTTAATGAAAAGGAAACTGTATTCAGCTGTCAGGACTGGCGTCGCAATCTTAATTATGCAAACATGACGTGCAGGTGCCCGTCCCTGATTGGCTACCAGAAGACGGTGGAGACGTCCAATTGGTGGCTTACTGGAGGTAAAAACTTCTGATGCGGACTTCCTGCCATCCATCCTCAGCTCATCTCAACTGAGCTGTGGAGCTGCTGTTTATGTTTGCTTAGTTTTCTCATGTTTTTTTAATTAGGGACGAATGTTTTTGTCATTTGTTTTATTTACTTTCAAATAGGTAGGTTTTAATATCCACATGTAGCTTCTTTTTGTTTATTGTTCTCGACACTATGGCTCATTCTGAAGCCGTATGCTCTACTTGTTGTAACATCTCATTCAAAAATACATCCTTTTAAAATAAATATTATAAAATGTTAAACTTTGTTTCTGTTGGCTGCTTGAGATCTGGAGACGATGGATCCTTCGTGTTATGACCCGGCCACCTGCAGACGGGTCATAACATCAGCAATGTGAGCAATGAACTTTGGGTAATAGATGAACCCATCCACCTTCGCTTTAGAAAGATTTAAAAACAGAAAGTTCAGCATCTCACAAATATAAAATCACCTGACAACATTATGTGCTATGCTGTAGAATGTAACAAATAGGATTTCTGTAGCATTGAAAACTAAAGTCTGCCACCTTCAGCCTGTCTGCTGTGTCTCAGTCTGGCATTAGCCATAAACAAACAAAAGCTTTAGTAATGCTCGTTTCTAAACAGCAATGAGAAACGCTCGTTTTACTGTCAGGTGTTTTGCCTTGTGTACGTGAATTTATCACTATAAAAGACATCACCAGATTTAAACTACTATCAGTGACCTGTGTTAAAAATGCATCTTATAGAACGGTTTTAAAAGATGAGTTTAAAACAACAAAAAACTTTTTTATGGGTGACATAGTTTGAAAATTTGTTTTAAAGGTATGAGAGAAGAATAAAATGAATGACCAGGAATAAACAATAAAATTAATAAAATTAAAGTAGTTTTAAAAAAAGTCTAATACTACAGAAGTGCTGAGCAGGTACAAGAGATATGTATTAACAAAAATAATTTATTCACAGACACACATACATACATTGAAAAAGAAATGACATTACTGAAGAGAATATTCATTTCAGAATCTTTATCAGTAGTTGCAACAATATTTAGATTAACTACACATAGATGAATGTTTGAAAGCCTTTATTTCTATTAATTATGTTGATTTTTACACTTATATTTAAAATATGTGCATTATAGATCACATTTTCACAATCAAAAATCCTCATATTGGTTTTGTATTTTGTATTATCTCCTATTATCCATTGTGTCCATAAAGTGGTTGTCTTGTGTCTGCAAAGTTCTGTTGAATGGTAACAAATTAGTTTGTTTTGTTTCTGTTTGGCTCTGAAACGGTGTTCCCAAACTGCGTTCCTTGAGGGCCGGAGACCTGTAGATTTTAGCTGTGTCCCTTGTTCTACACATTTGAATTAAATGGTGCGGCTGCCTCACTATCATGCAGTAAAGCGCTACAGAGCTCTGCTCCTCAGCGAATATTGGAGCCAGGTGAGCTGAAGCAGAGAGTTTTGTGGCAGGACATTAGCTGGAGTTTGAGACCACAGCCCTGAAATGTTGCAAACTGTCGCATAGAATAAAGGATTTTGTCTGAAACCTGGATCAATTTGAATTATTAGAAGCCGGACGAGTTGAAGAAAGAAATTGTAGCGCATTGTTTTCTGTAGCTATTTATGTGAAATAAACAAGTAACTAAACATTGAGAACACTAAGTTTTTCATCTCGGATGCACTGCTGAGAAACTGAAAATACGTCCAAAACTCTCTTTTGCATTTTCCAGAGGGAACGGAATATTTTTTGACTAAAGTTCCTCAAATTTTTGTATCTCGTCAATCTGATAGGAGGGCAAGATACAGAGAAGATTAGGCTCTGAATCCTGAGCAAACATGTCTGTTGTGACTTGTGAGGATTTTTTGCATTGCCTGTGAGAGTGATGTGAAATCTGCGTCTTGCAACACGCGCAGTGGAAAAATACCACAGTGTTTGGTGAGTTATGGAGGCTCACTCCAGAGAATTGAGAAAGACAGCAGATAAAGCAGTCCACAATTGCCAACACTTTCCCGTATGGTCGTTAAGAAGGCTACATAATTAAACCTATTTATATGTTATGATATATCCTTATCAAAATCCTAGAACATCAGAGATGCTCACAGATGCATGAGGATCTTCACTGTTGTTTGAGTGACTTCACTTTTGGAAAAGACTTGGTGCATGCCCAAACTACCAAAACTATCAATACCTTTTTTAAATCTTTGTTGGGATCACTGTGCTGCCAGTAGACCGACTTGATCCAAACCTAATAAAGGAACAGCTGTGAATTGTGCAGAGAAAGATGAGAGGCTCAAGACCCAGCATCGTAAACCGAGGCTGCTATGGAGCAATGGGACTGGTGAACTCTTCAGCAGTGTCACAGGTTAATCTCCTCCTCCGATACTGCTGGATCACAAGATTATACCAGAATATAAAACTTTTAAAAGAAATTGTAATTATTTGGGAAGCACACCAGTAAAACTTCAAGCTGAGCTGTCAGAGGTGCAGCGGGAGCTTTTATTCAAGTTGAAAGCAATGTTATTTTTGTCACAGTACATAAATACAAGTTCTCCTGCAGTTTATGTGACGACGCTGCAGCGTCATTTTTCAGTTCTAGTCGCCTTCCTTTTTCTTCCTGACTGTGCAACAGGAAACCCACCCTAGAGTTTTCAAGCCACAGTTTAGTAAGTAACACAGACCCAGAGAAACTACCTTTCCAACAGCATCTCGGCCGTTTTCACCGTAAGTATTTATGTACAATTGATTCAGTTTATATAATTGATCTTTCAAAATTAAATTATGTTGTAATGTGGATTTTTAAAATATTTGTTTCTATTTTGACCAAAATATATGCATTTTTTCATCAGATGCAGACGCATATTCTGTTTTATCTCAGTCTAACATGGATACGGCTATCACAAGACATCGCAAAAGCTAAAGGTTTGTGTGTATGTATATATATATATATATATATATATATATATATATATATATATATATATATATATATATGTGTGTGTGTATGTATGCATGTGTGTGTATATGTGTGTGTGTATGTATGCATGTGTGTGTATATGTGTGTATACACATGCACAAAAAGTTTATTGCCTGACAAGCATTTTTTAATTTGTTTTTCAGACACAGGTGACCCTAAATGGAAGATAAACGTGAATCAGAACATAACTGCAACAAAAGGCTCAAATATAACCATATTCTGCACATTTGAAACTCCTCCGGAACAAAAAACAAACATTACAGTTTACTGGAAAACAAATGGAAGAAGCAGCTGCAGCAGGAACGACAACGACAAGCTGGCATTTGCTTTTCATTCTAGCTCCTCTTGCATAGATCCACACTTCCAGGGAAGGACAAAACTAATTGGAGAAGCCAGCGATGGAAACTGCTCTCTGCAAATCTTCAATATTAGGAAAACTGAACCATCAATCTACGTGCGGGTTTCTGGACGGAGCAACTACTACAGCTTCAAGAAACATGCCGTCAAATTTTATGTGGATGAAAAAAATTTAAGTTAGTATATTTTCAGTTTTACCAGCTATTTTATGCTTGTTACAACATTTAAAGTTTTTCTATCATAGTCAAAGTTTTCATTCCATTAGGGAACTATAGCTTGCATTCACAGATCAAATTTTCTCTGTTTGGAAACATGTTTTCTTTTTTTTTTCCTAAGGTTCCTTGAGTCACACAGATTATCCCTCATTTGAGTTTACAAGTAATATTTTATTTACTTCATGTTATTTATTCAATCTGTTCCTCAGAAACAAATGCAGCCATGTAAAAATCTTCAGTAAGGCTTCTTTAATGGAAATGACTCTTGTTCATAGCAAGCGCCATGCCTGATGTGCATGACGATGGGAACATCAAGATGTACCTGGCCATCTTTGTGCCCCTTCCCATCATTCTCATCATTGCTGCAGCTGGGATAGTCGCTTACAAAACGTACAAGAGGTAAGCACCAATTTATCTGATGTTACAAGTAGATACCCTTAAATGGGAAACATTTTTATACATATAAAACATATATATGCACTATGTCCCAGCTGGTAATGTGTATCACAGCTTCGTGATTATCTTCAATATCCCAGGTCACACATGATGAAGCGTCAGGAATCTGGATATTATGCAAACTTCAAACGGACATCGTCAACCCCACACAAAAGGTTCTTATCTTCTTCTTGCATTATACTATTCTATGAAAAGTGTTTTTGCAATCTTATAGCTTTATTTAGCTTCTGCTTTGTCAGCTTTACTTTCTTGAATTTAGCTTTGAAGAATCTCAACATAAGTTATTTCAAAATGATAGTTTAATAATGAGCTTGTTTTTTATTTTTCCTCAGTGGGGTTCTGTGATGTTATTGATAGTTTCCTTAATTATCTGTGGACAAAGTTAAATAAGTAAAAGCTTTCAAAAAGTAGTGAGAGGTAAATAATAAACGGCCCATTAGCTGATTTGTGGGAACATCACAAGTCTGTTGGGACAATTATTACACTACTAGACGTAGTAAGAATGGCATGCACAAGGCAATGCTATAACATCTCCATTGAGATTAGGTGCAGACTTTGACTAGGCCATTGCAAATCATTTTCCTTTTTGAGCCATCAGTAGGGGCAATTGATGGTGCGCTAGGTTGGTTTTTGTTACTAAATAAAATCAAAATTTTAGAAAAACAGTCTTTGAAAATGTCTGCGCTTGTTATTTATACATTTTGTCTTCTTAGCTTAGTAACTTCAAACACATTTACTTAATTTAACTCAAATTGAAACTGTCCATTTTCTCCTGTTTCCAGTGAACCATTATGTGAAACATCAAATAAAATGCCTACAGATGCAAAAGTCATTGATGAACCTATTTACTTAAATCTGCAGGTATATTTTATCTACAATGATTAGATTTTAAAATCTTCACAGTACTTCAAGGCATATCTAGTAGCTATCTAAAATCAACTTTGATCACATTTTCCTTTCATTTTAGAGGTCAGCAAATGAGATGGACCAACGAGTGGAAACTGTGGAAAATATTTATGGAAATGTGGACTATACAATTTAGAAAAAAAACATCTGCTTTCATCCTGAAGGGTTGTATTTAGCTTTCAAATGCATGTGCCATAAGAAGGATCTCAAGTGTCAACTAGATTAAGGATGCACTGGTTTGCAACACATGCATGGAAACTCTGAAGCTTAATAAAAAGGGAACTTAATTCAGCAACGTGACCAATGCAGTCACATTGTATCGGTCACATTGCTAAGAGATTGACCTTTCCACCTTCACTTGACAAAGCTTCAATAATAAAAATAAATAAATAATCCAGAATCTCACACATTTGAAATGAGCTGGCAACATGACGCACTGAGATCGTAATAAATTGTTTTCAATAAGGATTTTCAAGAATCAAGAACTAAAGTCTGCCACCTTCAGGCTCTTTGCTGTCTCTCTGTTAACTAAAAAACAGAAACCTCAGTAATGTTTGTTTTTAAATGGCAATAAAGGTGCTAATTTTACTGTCCAATAATTAGCATTCTGTACATGAAGTTATCTTTATAAAAGATTGTAACCTGATGTAAACTACTGTCAGTCAACATGTTAAAAATGACATTTTTATATATTGCTTATTAAAGGATCAATTTTGAAAATGTAAGCAAATTGTGACGTTTGACATTTTGTAATAGAGCTACAAGAGAAGTATAAATAAATATATACAAGGCAAATTAATGATTTTTATATTATTCCTTTTAATTTTAAAGACCTTCAGCTTACAGTTCATGCAAACAAGACATCTGGGTTTAGAATGTTATACTAGACCAATAAAAAAGCAAAAAAATATATAGAAATGTGGGCTTAAAGTTTAATACGCATTTTCAAAATGTGTGTTTCTTTCAATCTGACTAAAAAGTCTCATCTGAACACACACACATATTTACATGTTAATAATAGTGAACTCCATTCATGAATAAACTCTATTGTAGTTGTGATCAAAATGCAAATACTGTGATGCAGCATTATTTTTTGATTTACATAATAATGTCGACAGTACTTTAAAATCAGGTCTGCTGGCAGGATTTCAGTAACTGCTCTGTTTTAAACAGGACTGCTACTAGTCATCAGTTTGTAATGATTAACTGGTAACCGTGAAATTACAGGGAGATAACAGTTATGCGCTGATCTAATATGCTTCCTCTTACTGCCTTCCTTATTTCTATTACACAATCTTGCAAGTGGAAGCAGCTGAGAATGATCAAATTCTCATCTTGGTTCAGATGCAGCTACCATCCCTGTTTTAGCTCAGTGTCGTGTGGACAGTAACACCACAAGCAGAGCGTGGATCATTTTATAATTTCAAAGAGTTTAATCAAAAAATGCATTTTCTTTTGTTTTGAACACAAAGGCAGGTTGGGCAATTTGTCATAATGTGAGGTTTCCAGGACTTTAAGGCAAACAACAACTACAGACACTCAAACAGTCTTGACAGATTTACTTAACAGTGAAGCGTGTGGAGGGACGTCGATCTGCGACAGCAGGGAGGAATCAGGTCAGCGGAGGAACTGAAAAGAGCGAGCGGTTAAAGAGGGAAGTAATGAGGGGAATGACCGGATCACCTGATGGTGGCTTACGGTCGGTGGGTTGAGGTAGGCAGAGGAAGGCAGAGGAGAGTACATGGGGGTTCCAACAGTTGGCGTGGTGTGGTGGTTTCCAGATGGAGGGGTTCCTGCAGGAGACTGAGGGCGGACAGGCAGCAGCTGAGTGGAGGGCGTTATTTACCCAGGTGCAAGGCCCAACGGACCAGCGAGGACCAGATCCTTCAGGTGAGTCTGTCCCAGAGAGTGTTCAGAGCAAAGACTACTTGGGAAGGAGTCAGAACAAGGAGGACACTGTGAATACAGCACTGATAGCTACAGAGTACCACAGTAGAAGCAGAACCATCTGGCATCTGAATCAGGGAAGCTGCTCCTCTTTAAGGACCTTGCAGATTAGCGGTGATGAGTAACAGCTGGATACCATCAGCCTGCTGCCCTGCGAAGGAGAAGAAAACCACTCCCCTGCAGACCCCAACACAGCTAACATCATTCAGAGTATTAAGTAAAAAAAGGGCTCTAAAATGACCATTTGGTGTACACTCATCGATCCTCAAAGGCAATACACGAAAAGCATTACCTGATATGCTTTATTACTGCCAGCAGCAACAGTAATATGTTGCTGCTGGCAGACGATCTGACGCCTGCATTTGTAGGAAGCATCAAAATATAAAATAGGCCAAATCTAAGAGTTCTTAGATTTATTTACTTATTTGGATTTATGTTTGTTAGTTTTGTTGGCATAGTCACTTGATTAGAAGTAAGGACTACATCATAAATTGGTCTCAGACCCATTCGCAGGAGAAACATACAATAAATATAAATTTTAAAAAATCATTACAACTTAGTCTCACTCGTGATGTTCACATTTTGATTGAAGAAGAAATTTGTTTTGGAAAATAATAGTGTGTGCACACTCTTCAATGTGGATGTGGCCAGCATTCAAATGTATATGAATCAGACGTCAGTTTTCTTACAAAAAATATTAGTAAAACTAATTTTATATTTCCTCTATTTTTGTATTTTCTAGTCACTGTGCTGATGTAACCTGATAGACTCAGGTTACATAGAAACCTGCAGATTCTATTTAAGTTTTTTCAGTTATTGCTACAGTAAAAGTAAGAAACATGAGAATCTTTCACTTGGACTGTTTGTTCATTTTCTGCATTTAGAGTTTGAATGTTACAACTTCTGAGTCAAAATGAAGCATATGAGGAATCTACTGCTTGCAGCCAATCATAAAGTGCTACTGCGTTAAAATGTCTCATTTTCAACGTTTGAAAAGTCACAACAAACTGCAAAAGTTCAAGCCCTGCAGCTACTAATGTTTCAAAATGTACATTGTGTACTTGTTATAATAATTTAGATAGGCGGTAACTTACACTGCATTTTTTTTTTTCTTTCATTCTGCATTGTTTTGTGAGTATGTTGATGCTTGAAATGGATTATACAATGGTTAAAATAAAACTGCTTGCACCCTTGGCATTTGCAAAACACTGTTGTTTTAAGCGTAGGCTCAGTCGATAAGTTCTGTGACGTTCGATTTTCTTTTTGCTTGTTTTACCTCATTCTTAGCTCCCTTAATTCAATTGACTGATTAGCCTTGGGACAGCAAGTGCTGCTTACTATGTTTCCCTGTTCTCACTATTAGGAGGCAGCTATATCAAGCAACTTATTTTGCATATCACCAAGTGAAACAGAACAACTTAAGAATTAAGTTCTGCTTTCTCAAGAATTCTTGCATCTATTCAAAACGACAGGAAGACGTGAAAAGAAGCACAGCCTGAATATGGTAGTCAGCACACCCACGTGTATGTGCGACAGTATAGCTTACTCGCATTCATAACATTTATTGTCTACAATTTCAAGTTCAGTGTTATTGTAGCTGCGCATGAAATGAACAGTAAAAATGTGAATCTGCTGATTCTCTTCTACAATACAACAGTAAAACCGATGTCAATGGCAAAACTGAATGTTTAGGAGGAAATTAGAAGAAAAAAACTATTAGCAACACTCGCACACTCTGAGGTGTGCTTTAATTTTGTCATCAATAACTATAACAGCAAAGCTCTTCTTGCATGAATGTTGCTTACATCTTGTAAACAGGGAAGGAGGTAAAAAGCAAACAGACCAGAGGTAATAAGGCAATAAAGGTTCAAGCAAATATAGATTAAATATATATATAGATGCACAAACTGATGCATAAGGTAATTTTCAGTTGTTGAGGATATAACTTTATTAATCCCCAAAAGGAAATAACAGTTGGCATAGCAGCCTAAGAAATAGAAACAAAATAAAACAATGTATAATCAGGAATATTATTTTGGTGATGTGATGTTGTGGAGCCAGATGGCACAAATGAGCCACCGATCTGCTGAATGAGTCCGTGGCTCTAGGAGCTCCTTTGCTGCCTACGCTCAGAGGGATTGTCCATGAAGGCCTTTAACATCCCACTCACCCTTTGCTTGGTCACTCCCTTCACACTGCCCATTTCTGGTGGCATTCCTTTCCAGCTTACTTAGCTTCTTGATGATGTGTGACCCATTGCCCCCTCCCTAGCACACCAGAACACACAAAAAAAATCCTTCTTAAAATGGGTGTGGGGCCTTCTGCTCAAATTGTATTAAGCTGGAGGTGATAACTCTCACATCATCCAGTGAAGCCCTCAATCAAGTCCCTGTCTTCCTCCTCCCTGTCATCTGTAGTGCAGCCAAAAATACAGGGGCCATCTGACAACTTCTGTAGGTTGTTTGTTCCAGAGCTGAAGCGAAAGTCAGAGATGGAGAGTGTAAAAAGAAACTGTTGTAATACACTTCCCTGGGGTGTGCCCTTGTTGTTCACCACAACATCAGAGAGAGAGAGACGTGCAGCCTGACACACTGCGGCCTGTTAGTGAGGTAATCAGTAATCCAGGCCCGCTGGTCTCATAGAGAGGATGGTATAAGAAACAGAAAAGCATCATCCTCACTGTGATGTGTGGTTTATCTGGGTGGCATAAGCTCTGTGAAGTATCATCTTCAAGTCGGACTACACAGGATCCAGGCAGTCACTCATCACAGGCCTGAAGTGCTGCAGTCCCTCCACTGTCTGCATTTGATGATAGTGCCACAGGCCTGAAGTTGGAAAGGTTTCTGTCCCTTTTATGGGACAGAAAACATCCCAGAACGTCTCCCAAATCTCCAGCACCTTCTTCAGCTTCAATGGCAGGTCAAAGAGATTTGTAACGCTGTTGTCAAACACTCAGCTCACACCTGGAGGACCCTTGGATGGATGTCATCGGTCCGGATTCTGGTCAGCTGTCACCTTACCTGGCTGGTTGATCAACAGAAATTAGTGGCTTTTTCAAGAAGTATGTCTTTTTTTATGGTAACATGTCTCAGCCTGTTTCCCAGAAAATATGAACAACATAAAGTTTGTGAGATAATTTGAACTAAATTGAGGGTGATAAGATTCTGCTGAGGTTAATAAAAGAGTATGAACCCAATTGTATCAATTCAGGCTTTTCTTCAAGGTCCACAGTCTGTTTCCCGTGAGTACACTGTGCACACGCACCACCCACACACAGCTGTGTGTGGGTGTGTGCGTGTGCTCACACACACATATTAAATGCACCCACACTGTTGGACAGATTGTGCGGAAAATTGTTTCATTTTGTAATCTCCTGTGTGTGTCACATAGTGAACCTAACAGTCAGGGTTGAACAACATCATCATTAAATGAATACACACAAGAAATACACCACATCTAAAATATTCTGATTTTTGCTGCTACTTTTGTGGCCAGGGTTTAATGTAAATACATAATGTGTGTTAGTGTGTGTAGAAAGAACTGGTCAGCAAATATATTGCAAGACTGGCCAATAAATGCTTATATTTTCCTCCCTACTAGTTAATGAGAAGGGTGTAGGTTATTTTTTTTTTCTTAAACTATTATTTTTTCTTACCATGTCAATAAAGAAAATGACTTTATACTATGAAAAAATACAATTATTCCACATTGCTGTTACTCCTTGAGAGATGCCTAGCTCATTGGTTCTCAGAAACAAAATTGGTTAAATGAAATTGCCTCGAACCCAGCCTGCCAGTTTTGTGAGTGAAATTAGTTTGAGGCTTAATTTTCTTTTAAGTGAAAAAAGTGTTTGTCCTCACCACGATGCTCTTTCCTGCAAAATTCCATTTCCAGATTATGATTTACTGGAAAATGAAGAAGCGTAAAAATGTAACACATGGTAGCACTGTAACCAGTGCTTCCAGTTTGCGTTGCAACAGTAAGCCGTTCTTGTGACGTTTCCTTCATTTTGACCAATCACACTCTGTGCAGTACTTTGGTTTAAAAAAATATATAACAGGCCACCAACTAATATCAAACCAGCTGCTATTGAAATCCACATGACAATTATTGTCCAATAATAGATTGACATTAAAATTATAAGTTTGACTTTATGTAAATCCCTCCAACTCATTTAAGTCCACAATACATTTTACCGTTTTATACAGACAAGGTTTGGACTTGGGATTATTTTTCACTCCAAAAAGCAACAAGTAAACATTTGTTATAATCAAAGTACTGGAAACGGTGAAATCCACATAAAAATGCAAAACATGCTGAATCTTCAAAGAAATAGAGTACAACAAAAAAGACGAGAGTGGAAAACGACCAAAAGCTCTGATTGATGTTACAAACACCTTGTTGGGTCCAACCAAGAACGAGAAACATGTAAATTATAAAGTGGCCAAATAGTAAATTTTCAAACAAAGAAACCACAATAGTGGTGTGGGTGTCTGTTTAGTAGTTGAAAGCTGTGAGTTTAATGTCAGCTTCCTACTGTGATATATTGATGTGCCCATGGGCAAGGCATGTGTGTGTGATTGGGCCTGTGTATGAAGTAATTGATATGACTAGAAAAGTACCATATCAATTGAGTCAGTTCATAAAAATGTGACTTTTTTGGCACCATAATTATGAGCTAAATCCTTAACATGTTGAACATGAAGACAATCAGTAAAATTCTATGTTTCATATTGCATTTGAACATTTATCTGGATAACCGCACTGACCAGCAATATTTTCCTACAACGTCTCCCCCTGGGTAATTCATGGGACTTGTCAAGGATTGTTGGGGTCTTTTTTCCCTGAGCACACTGTGCACACACACCCACCCACGCACACACCCACACACACACAAGGTCAATGCCCTTAGCATTAACCTTGGCTGAGGCTCCATCGTTTTTAATGAGGATCACAAAAGTACAGAAGTCCAGGCAGCACAGGTGAGCAATGAGACAAGGAACTCAGACGCTGGTAGCACTGGAAACACACACAACTGGAACGGGACAAACAACGAACGAGGAAACCACAACAAGGATCCAGTAGGGAAACAGAGACACAGGTGAGTATAAATACACTGAGTGTAATCAGGGGAAACGAGGGACGTCTGAAAATAACCAAAGGTTAGACGATGACACACAGAAAACCACGTCCTCACAGGACTGATGAAAAATACGAATATTCCAAAGATTTGATATGATGTCAAGCATTATTATATTTAATTGCTCCACACCTGATGCTGGGTACACCGCGATGACTTCAGGAAGTTAAGACCACATTGTTGCAGAGTTTTAGTTGATCTGCTACATTTATTTTTTTCTCCATCTAAAATTTGCTCCTGTAAGATGTAAAAACAACTCTACATAATAATCAGCTTATGACGTGGGGAACGTTTGATTGTAACAATTTCTGACTTCAAGGTCTAAATTTTTGCTTTATAAGCACAAGACTCACCCTCATCACAAAATAGGACAAAATAGGACAGAGACATGATCTTTGGCTTGAAAAGGTTCAAATCTTACAAGATTTAATTTCAGTCAAAGCTTCAAGGTGAGTGGATCATTACTTTGAAGATTAAGAAGAATTCACTAAAGACTTTAATATATTTTTATTAATCTTTATGTTGATTTTTTTTTAGACTTCTCGTCAGCTAATAATGGAGCTGAAATTGTGGCTCCCGATTCTGATGGTTTTTGGTAAGCTTCACCTTAAAATGACAATCCATGGAATATCATCGTTCTATCACTGTCTACTTGCTGAAAAATATTTAACGCTTCATTGCAGGGATGGCTGAATCTCTAGGCACGAGCAAGGACTGGTCCATAAAAGTGCCATCAAAAAATCCCTGTTCTTCAAGGCTCATGTGTGGTCATTCCCTGTACGTACATTTACCCCCGGATAGATAGCATCGAAGACATGGAAGGGATACTGGAAGAGACGGGGCACAGTTGTTGCATCAAATTTCCCCAATTTGAAACTAACGCGTGAGTTCAAACATCGATCCAGAATTAGAGGAACCCTTCAAAGCGGCAACTGCACCTGGCAGCTGAATCGTGTCAGAACAACCGACACTGGTCCGTTTCACTTCAAAATTGAAATCCCACAACATAAAAGCCACAGTTTCTCAAAAAATAAGGTCACCCTCAATGTCTTCCGTGAGTATATTAGAGACCTTTTCAGTAATTTCTACACCATTTACTTTAAGATAGTAAAACATGTTTGAATAACTATTTAACAAGTGATTTTGTGAAAACTGTTTATTGTACAGGAGTTCCTGAGCCGCCCATCATGTCTGTTGCAATCCAACGTAAAGTGACCGCCACCTGCAAAGTTACTCATGTCTGTCCATCATCTCCTCCCAAATTCTCCTGGAGCCACTATGGAAAGATAAAAACGAAGTCAAAAAAGCTGAATAAATGGTTGTGGTCAACAAAGTCGACTCTCACCTTTATCCCTCACAAACACGACTACAACAAGCCTTTAAACTGCAGCGTATTGTTCAAAGGCAATAAGACTACAAAGGGCTCTGTGCTTCTCATCAAGTAGAGTGTCAAGTGAAACTAAATACGGAGTACTAAATTAGAGCAATATTTTTAGAGCTATCTGCCATGATGACAAAGTGATTTTGCAGAAAAAGGCCTGAATTAGTAAAAAAAAAAAAAAAATGTATACGGACAAGAAATGCTTATTGTTGCATGCTTTGATTCATATTACCTTTTGAGTTTAACTTTACCTAAATCTTTCAAAAACGTGTTGGAGGCACAAATGTTAGAATTTTTTTTTTTTACCTTTGATTATTTTCTAATAGGTTTTATGGATTAATTTTGTTTAGCTGTTTTCTTTTACTCTTCATAAACTGCAAGATCATACACTGACTATTAAATATACATCATAGTCCAAAGTCTACAAGTTTCCTTGTTTCTTTGTATTAAAGCTTTCATCAAAGTGCTAAGATTATGACATTTTTGTGTTTTTTCTCTCTTAACTTTTGTCTCAATTATCTGGAATGTGTGAAATAGGAAACTGTTGTGGCTGCAGCCTCCCATTTGTGGTGAATGGAGAACATGGGGTATTTAATTTAGCACTTCAAATGGGCCACCAGAACCTTCATCATCAGAAGAACTGCACAAATAGCAACTAAAGTAATAGTATTATTCTCTTTAAATCTACATTGCATGGTTCATTGGGTAACTTTTACTGTTCCTCACGAAGAAAATGTGGATAAAATATATATGGGAACATTAACTTTTTTCTATTAACCATATTATGATAGTTTTTCTCTTTCAAAGGTGAGAAAATGACTTGATGCACTATATTTAAGTCCATTGTCAACCCACTGTCAAAAAGAAAAGAAGGGAAGTAAAATAAAAATAAAAATTACTCTGCCCTTATTTTTGGCATTTTCCATGGTTTTGAATCACAGTACACACTAGTCATGCATAGCTCACTGTTTGCCATGATTAATGGTTGTAGAGATGTACAAAGTACAAAGTCCAGGCAGCACAGGTGAGCAATGAAGCCAGAAACTCAAAACACTGGAAGCACTGATAAGTAGGAGAATGACACGATTTATGAAAGCAAAGAGAGCCATCTGACGGGAAACACAGTCAGAGGTGGAAATTAAAAATTTTCCCCACCAGCCACAGCAGCTAGTAGAGAAACATTTTTACCGGCCAATCAGTCATGTCACCAGCCACAGGTTTTTTTTTTCTTTCAATTACAAACCCCACAAGTACAAGCAAATTATCGGAAATGTATGATTTATTCTTAACTCTATGAAAACCAATTTACTGAAAATAAGTTTACCTTACAGATGTACATATACATGTTGTAGTGCAATAAGTTAATTTGAAGTAATTACTATCGGCAAACATTAACTACACCACCCTAACATTCTTGCAATTGTATGATGAACATTTCCACATTTTGGCAACGACCCTCCCTCAGTATTTATTAAAGATGTGTCCAGTCAGTTTTAATATATTTTTAAATTGGATCAATAGTTGTTTTCTAACAGTTTTATTTGCTTTTCTGAATGGGGTTTTGTGCTTTTTAGCTTTTTCTCATAGTTTTTCTGACCTGCCCCGTCTCCTCGGTTCATTTGCTTGGACTCCGGTTAGCTGGAATGGCATTAATTATCAAACTTAGAGGGGAGGGGCGATTTCATTGGATAAGCCCAATGAAAGCAACCAATAGGCTGTCGCGGTTGACAAATTTTTTTTTGTTAAATTATGACAGTGTAGGCCCGCTAGATATGGAGTAATGATCCACTCACCTTGAAGCTTTGACTGAAATGAAATCTTGTAAGATTTGAACCTTTTCAAGCCAAAGATCATGTCTCTGTCCTATTTTGTCCTATTTTGTGATGAGGGTGAGTCTTGTGCTTATAAGTCAAAAATTTAGACCTTTAAGCCAGAAATTGTAACAATCAAACGTTGCCCACATCATAAGCTGATTATTATATAACTCTTTTTGTACATTTTACTGGGAACAAATTTTAGATGGAGAAAAAAATAAATGTAGCAGATCAACTAAAACTCTGCAACAATGTGGTCTTAACTTCCTGAAAGTCATCGCGGTGTACCCAGCATCAGATGTGGAGCAATTAAATATAATAATGCTTGACATCATATCAAATCTTTGGAATATTCGTATTTTTCATCAGTCCTGTGAGGACGTGGTTTTCTGTGTGTTATCGTCTAACCTTTATTATTTTCAGATGTCCCCCATTGCAACAGACACAAAGAAAGGAGTCATCTGTAATCATAACTTAAAATGTTCACATATTTACTTCTGCTAGAGTATTTTACAACAAAAGCTGATTTATGCTACACATATACAAAATAAAGCATTTTTAATTTGCCTCTATGTCAAAAGTTCCTCCAGCAATAAGTTTGATGCTTCTTGTAAGAAAATAATTGAAGAAAGACGCCTGAGCCTCTGCAAAATGATGAGGGTGAAGACGTCTCATCTTGATTTGACAACAATCTCCCCTGGAAAATATTTCCCACGCGGCTGTTGTCTGCTTCACATTACTTCTTGCTTTATGAGTCGAACATTTAACATTGTCAATAAAGAATTTATCAATAAAGTATGCTGTTTGATTCAGCTGATATGGACGGCAATGCCAAATGCAAAAACGAGTTTGAAACTTTTCAGTTTTCTTTTTGAGTAACAGATGTTGACGTTTTGAAAAATTTCACTGAGCTTCGTAGCAACTTCCCTTTCTGAGTTAATTCTGAACACACTTATATGCACAACTGTGGGTTTTTCCACACTTGACCAAAAGTGCATGCCCATCAACAACCACACTTTCTTCGTTTATTTGAACAGTCATATTGTTTGACTTATCTGCACTTAAGAAGCTTGCAGGTCAACAACTACAGGATCATCATTTGATCCTTTTAAACTACTTTGTTAGAATAGTTTTACTTTTAAACACGTTAAACAGATATCACAATCTTACAACCAAAAGAGGAAATTCTAAAGATAGCAACACTCCCACAGTATGTTGAAACTAGATAAGTCCAACCACTTGAATAATAATAAAAAATACACTTAGGTACATTTTTATAACAGTTTAATAGCCATTATTGATACATACATTTACAAGACTTATTTGGAAATGTTATAGCTGCAAGCAAAAGTGCCTTATGAGGCACTCTAATGTTTGGATTATGTGTAACCCAAATATATACAGAATTCATTTCCTTTATTTAACCTGGTTAACACAGTTGAGATGTAGATTACATTCGCACAACGGATCTGCACAGAACATCTCCAACACACATCAAAATAGTTACACAGAACAAACTTAAAATATAATTAGACCATTAATTACACACCAGAATATTAATATTTTTCGTCAAGCTGGTAAACAGGCTGCAGCTTTTCCCTTATTTGTTAGACATTGGTATATATTTGATCATCCCAGTCAATCTGAAAAACAAATACAACATACAATTATTGTATTTGCTTGTGAATTTGTAAAATTCAGTAGAAAAATTATTACCCCAACATTTCCATACATATCTTCATTCATATAAAACTAGAAGAATGTGGATCATCACAAATCTTGTACCTCGGTAGACAATTCAGATGTTTGAAAATAATTATAAGTACGATGAGAAGTTTGCTTGAGTGAGTGATGAGGATTTTTTTAGGCCTTCTCTTTGGGTTCCTGACGTCTTTGTGTCGTCATGGCAAACGTCTAATCCTGAAGTGTCTCTAGGTTTCCCCCTGCTGGCCAAATAAAGGTATGATTTTAAAATTATAGTTATACTTTTAAAATATTTAGACATGACTGTGTACATAGAATCCTCTTAATGAAATTGTCTCCTTAAGGTTAACTTGGGTCAGAAAAAAGATTATAAACTGTTGTTTAAATCCATTTAGGCTCTACAGGCTTTTCCTTAATGATAATCGAGGACATCTCCTATTTCAAAAATAGTAGCCAAATTAAAACCCTTCAACATTTTTTCTGAATTGTCAACAGGCAGACTATCATCCAATCAATACCCAAATATTTAGAGGATCATACTTTATAATAAAACATTGAGCTGGACAGGCCGTGAAACATTTTTTCCCTCATCGTTGATAGCAGCACAATATATTGCTCCTATTGTTCTAGAAACTTTTGACACTATGTAGAGGTTTCCCTGACAGAACTCATAGCGGCTGACAGGAAGGTGAGCCTCACTGGAGCAAATGAGATCCACAGATTCTCCCTCCTTTATGTCGACCTTGGACTCAACGGTGCATCTGCATGAATATATAAAACCCTTGCCATAGTAGATGTATCATTTATGACGGCGTCTGGTACAACAGTGTCATAAAAAAGTAAACTCACAGAAATTGTTCTCCTCATTTGGTAGTTCAACTTACAGACAGTGTAGAGGCAAACAGCATTTTAAAAACATGTCATGATAATATGGTAATATAGCATCACGAAACAAAATTACAATCAATCAATGAAAGTTGGTTCATGTTGCCTTTCTTAGCTCACAATGTTTCGGTGGTGAACTAGAACATTAAATCTGGCTGAATGAATTTGAACTAGTTCTTGTTTAGGATGAACTGGCAATACATTGGCATGCATTTATTGATAAATTATGTACAAAACAGTAAATTCTTAAAACCATCATGCAGCAAAATGCAACTTTGCAACACCATCTCTTCATGTTAAGGCTCTAGCCGTAACATGTTTAAGGAAAAGCAATAAAAATATATATTTTTGCATTTTAACATATGGGACTGAGAAAAATATCAACATTCCAAAGATTTGATCTGATGTCAAGCATACCTATATTTAATTGCTCCACTCCTGATTCTGGGTACACTGCGCTGACTTTCAGGAAGTCGTCAAGAAGGATACTTGTACTCATTTTACACCATAACCGTTTTATTCAAACACAACATTGTTGCAGACTTTATTTAATGAATGTGCTACATTATTTTTTTTCTCCATCTAAAATATTTTTCCTGGTAAAGGCACATCAAAAGTAACATAATAATCAGCTTATGATGTGGGGAAAGCTTGATCGTAACAATTTCTGGCTTCAAGGTCTAAATTTTTGCTTTATAAGCACAAGACTCACCCTCACCACACATTTGGACAGAGGCATGACCTTTGGCTTCGAAACGTTGAAATCTTACAAGATTTAATTTCAGTCAAAGAAACTTCAAGGTGAGTGGATCATCATTAAGAATAATTCACTAAAGACTTTTATGTTTTTATTAATCTTTATGTTGATTTTTTTAGACTTCTTGTCAGCTAATAATGGAGCTGAAATTGTGGCTTCCGATTCTGATAGTTTTTGGTAAGCTTCGGCTTAAAATGACAATTCATGGAATATCATCGTTCTATCACTGTCTACTTGCTGAAAAATATTTAACGCTTCATTGCAGGGATGGCTGAATCTCTAGGCACGAGCAAGGACTGGTCCATAAAAGTGCCATCAAAAATCCCTGTTCTTCAAGGCT